ATGTAAAGATGTTTAAATAGAAGCCCCCTATGTATTTCATAAAATGTTTTATGTGATGCAATAAATAATAAACACAGAAAGAGAAAGTGATTCATTTCCTGGGCAGAAGTCAGTCATTTGCAGACAGAGTGCCTGCCCTGTATCAGGTGCTAGGTGGAGAGTCCTTGTCCTCATTCCTAAGGATTCTATGGGGTAGTGGAGGGGAGAGGCACATAAAGAAGCGATTCAGGTGGGTTAAGAGCCATGGAAGTGTCACGGAAGAGCTGGGAGGGTGGAGTAAATGACTGACTATTTAGGACTGCCTCAAATCCTTTTTGAAAGAACAAAGGTGGGTGGGGAAAGTATTCAGAACACAGTGCATCCTCCCCTGGGGGAATCTGGAGAAGGCTTTGACGGACCATGAAGAGCCGAATCTTCAAGGATGTGCAGAAGTTGGCCAGAGGCAAAACATCCAGAAAGATGTCCCAGAGAGAGAGAGAACTATCTTGGCAAGAGCTAGAGCAGTGATAGGCCTGGCAGGCGAAGGGTGTGCCGTGAGCAGCCCGGCTGAAGGGGAAGGCCAAGCCAGGTGACCCAAGGACCTGGGAGACCTGGGGACGGCCAGCAAGCTGACTTGTATTGAGCATCTTCAGTATTGTTTTGCCAGTAAGAAAACTAGGCTCAGAATTACACTAGCTTGCCCAAATTGTACAGGAAGTGATGGGCCCAGGATTAGACCTCAAGTCCGTCTGGCTTCAGATCCTTTGCTCTTTTTCTTGCATCATGCTGCTGATGAGTATGGACTTCACTCTATTGGTTGCTGGTCTTTAGGCCTTTTTTTTAGTGGTAAAGGCCTTTTGGCAAATAAAATCTTAAGCCCAAACTCTAATATATAAGAACAGATCAGGTTATATTTCATTAGCTTAAATTTCTTTCATATTTAAAATGCATAACTTACGAGATCAATTCATGAAAGCAGTGGTTTTCTTTTTAATAAGCTCTTTCTTTTTGGAATCATTTTAAACTTAACAGAAAAGTTGCAAAGACAGTACAAAGAGGTCCCACATACCCTACACCCAGTTCCCTCAGTGTTAACATCTTACAGTACCCTAGGACATTTGTCCTAACCGAGAAGCTGGTACTAGAACATTACTCTTAACTACAATCCATACCTTATTTGGATTTCACCTGCTTTTCCACTGATGTCTTCTTTCAGGGTCCAGTCCAGGATTGCATTCAGTTGCAATGACTTTCTTTTGCCAAACACTAAAACAGGAAGCCAGGAATTGCATTACATTCTTCTACACTCAACTTTGTGATTCACAATGAGATAGTTCCTCGAACACTTTGAAGAAACTCTAGCTATATGTAAAGAGGTATGAAGTCCTGGACTACAAGCATGCAGGGTGAGTAGCCTACTACCAAAATACAGTACAGCCCAGAGAAGAATCCAAGAATGCACACCCCACAAATTTGATTTAGTCTCTTAGCTTGGGCTGTCAGACAGTATGCTAGAGACTGGGCAGCCTAAACAACAGACATTTCTTTCTTCACAGTTCTAGAGGATAGAGGTCCTAGATGAAGGTCCCAGCCAGTTCAGTTCCCAGTGAGGGCTCTCTTCCTGGCTGGTAGATGGCGGAGTCCTCACATGGCCTTTTTTCTGTGTCTGCACAGGGCAGGGAGAGGGGAGTTACCTCTCTCTGTCGGATCAGCGCCCCACCCTTATGGCTTCATTTAACCTTAATTACCTCCTAAAGACCCTAACTCCAATGCAGTGACATTGAGGGTTAGGGCTCCCCCAAAGGAATTTGGGGGGGAGGGGAGACAATTCAATCCATAGCACAATCCAAAGGTGAAATGATAGGAAATATTTACAATTCAATCACGAGACAGCATGCACCATACGTTTACGCAGGTGACGATGTATTATTTGGTAAAACACTTGATACTTGCAAGACAATGTTAAATACAGAGATCATATTTTAACACTCATTAAATAAGTTGAAGAAAATGTAGTGTCATCTGAACAGATGGTGCAAAAGCAATGGTAAGAAAAAAATTTCAAAAGTGATTATGTTATAAAAGCTGTTAGCAAAAGTTTTCAGATGGTCATTGAATTTTACATTGGTGTTAAAAAGAAATCTCGCATCCTTCAGAATAATGCCAAGTAATGCCATACAGTTATTAATTATTTGTTACTGGTGTGGGCTGTGAGTTCTAGAATTTACTTTTCCATACGAAATGTTATTTACTGTATTGAAACAGGGTACAGATACCTTCACACAGAGTAAGAAACCACTAGTACTTATTTTGCTTTTGCTGATAAATAAACTTAACTGGATAACTTCACCTCAGCTAGTACAGTTATCTCTCTTGCCTACTGCCTCTCAGTTACTTAAGGCAGGGTTAAGTGTTAGCTGAGTTACCTGTACTTGATACTGCGAATCGAGGAGTCCACAGCCAGTGTGTTGAATAAAGGGCTATTACTGTGGCTGTTTTTAGTTTGGGAGCAGGGTGAATGATAATGCTGTTAATCAAGAAAAGTGTGGAAGAAGGAATAGATTTAAAGGGAGGAGTGAGTCTGAGGTGTCTTCAGGACACCCAGGTAGAGATATGGTCTTCATCTTGGGAACTTTAGAGAAAACAGGTAGCATTCTGGGATAGCTTTGAAGTCATCATTTGAAAGTAAGTTGAAGAGACGTGTTTTTTTTAGTGAAAGAAGGTATACCAGTGGATCAGTTTATTATAGACTAGAAAGATCAATGAAGGGAAGAAATAATTTAGGGTTAAAGAACTGCAATATGAGTGACTAGTTGGCCACAGTGTTCCTCTAGGAAACATGTGATTTTTTTTCCTTTTTTTTTTTAAATAATTTTTTATTGTTATGTTAATCACCATACATTACATCATTAGTTTTTGATGTAGTGTTCCATGATTCATTGTTTGTGCATAACACCCAGTGCTCCACGCAGAACGTGCCCCCCTCAACACCCATCACCAGGCTAACCCATCCCCCCACCCCCCTCCCCTCTAGAACCCTCGGAAACATGTGATATTTTATTGGAGTATCCTGTTAATGTTCCAACAAGCAATTTGGTCAGTTGTGATATTTTCAATCACGAAAGTGTTGATTCTGCAATTTTACTGTAATAAAACCCCATCATGAGTTTACACTCAGCACTTGGGTTCTTTTATCTATCCCAACTTTATTGGCAAATCATTGACAAATATAGTTGTATGTATCGCAGGTGTACAATGTCATGATTTGAGACACATGTACGTTATGAAATGATTGCCAACATGAAGATAGTGAACACATCCATCACCTCACACAGTTAGCTCTTTTGTGTGTGCGTAGTGAAATGCTTAAGATTTACTGTCAGCAAACTTCAGGTGTACAACACCCTATTATTAACTGTAGTCGCTATGCTGTACCTTAGATCCTCAGGACTGATTCATCTTATAACTGAAAGTATGTGCCATTTGACCTACATCTCCCCATTTTTCCTCCCCCTGGCCACTGCCATGTAAGTGATACTATACAGTATTTGAGTTCCTCTGTTTGGCTTATTTCTCTTGGTAGGATGCCCTCCCGGGTTCATCTGTGTTGTCACAAATGGCAGGATGTCCTTCTTCTTTATGGATAATAGTATTCCGTAGTATATGTGTATATACACATTTTCTTTATCCATTCATCTGTCAACAGATGTGTAGATTGTTTCCATGTCTTGCTACGGTGAGTAATGCTGCAGTGAGCATGAGAGCACAGATATTCCTTCAAAGTACTGATTCCCTTTCCTTGAGGTATATACCCAGGAGCAGAATTGCTGGATCAAATGGTAAATCTATTTTTAATTTTTTGAGGGACCTCTATACTATTTTCCATTATGGCTACACCAATTTACAGTCCCCCCAACATTGTACAAGTGTTTTCTCTCTTCACATCCTCACCAACGTTTTTTATTTCTTGTCTTTTTGGTAATAACCATTCTAACAGATCTGAGATGGTTTAGAAACTAAGAAAGCAATCCCACTTATACTAGCACCAAAAACAATAAAATACGTAGGAATACATTTAACCAAGGGGTGAAAGACCTGTACACTGAAAACTATAAGACATCGATGAAAGAAATTGACAAAGGCACAAATAAGTGTAAAGATAGACACCCTGTGTTCTTGGATTGCAAGAATTAGTATTGTTAAAATGCTCATACTACCCAAAGTTATCTACAGAGTCAGTGTAATCTCTATCAAAATTCCAATAGCATTTTTCACAAAAATAGAAAAATCTATCCTAAAATTCGTATATGGAACCACAAAAGCTAGTCCTGACCAGCTAAAGCTATCTGGAGAGAAGACAAAACTGGAGGCGCCATACTTTTGATTTCAAACTATATTACAAAGCTATAATAATCAAAGCAGTATGGTACCGACATAAAAACAGACACACAAACCAATAGAACAGAATAGACAGCTCGAAATAAGCCCGTGTGTATATGGCCAACTAATCTTTGACAGTCCCTAGGGAAAGGACGGTCTCTTCAATAAGTGGTGTTGGGAAAACTGACAGCCACATGCAAAGAATGAAACTGGACCCCTGTCTTACCCCCCACACACAAATTAGCTTGAATTAAAGACTTAAGTACAAGACATTGGGTTCTTAAGTATATAGCTCAACTGGAATAGTTATACCCAAAAGTACAAGTCATTCTTGACTCTAGAGGTTTGGTCTTAGTGTAGAGTAAAAAGTCGTTTTTCATTGCTGTGATGTATTTTTTTCCCTGTTACCAGTTCTTCTCACCTTTCCAATTCACATTCCTATTTCTCTAGAAGCTCTTGGAAAAAGTACCAGCTAGCCTGGTCTTTCTGCAGTCTTCGGGGAAAAAAGCTGCCTCCATCTTCAGCTTGCTCCAGAAGCTCAAGCTGTTCACCAAAACTCTACCCTTTGGGCTGCTCCCAAGCCTGCGGTAAACTCCTACAGATTGTAGGAAGGTGCTCACAGGCCCCTTCTCTGTTTGCAGGTCGTCCCCATGCTTCCCAGGCTGCTGTGCGAGGAGCTGTGCAGCCTCCATCCCATGACCGACAAGCTGACCTTCTCTGTGATCTGGACGCTAACCCCTGAGGGCAAGGTAACAACTTACACCCATGACCGTTTCATTCCACGAGTCCCCGTTAATCACTCACTGTGTGCCTGGGGCCACGCTGGAGTCCCGTGGTGGGAGGATGAGGGCCGCTGTAGGGGCAGCTACCACAGGGAAGAACAGAAAAGAGCCCCCTGCCTCTGAAGAGCTGTCAGTCCATTTAGAAGCTGTCAGACTGACCCTAAGCAATTAGAAACAAGTTATTTGTTTCTTATCTTTTATCAGGTGACGGGAGAAATTGTGTAAGCAAAGCCAAGTGGGGAGGCTTAGTGCAGGGGTATAAGATGGACGTGAAGGCGCTTGTGGCTTGGCAGTGGCAGGAGGGACATCCTGAGAGAACATCTAGGGGAAGGGTTGTTAGTTTGGGTAGGCGGGGTGGACTCAAACTGGAAGCAGCCTCAAACGCCAGTCACAAATGAATTCCGGGTGTTAGCGTTCCTCTGCAGTGTCCTGAGAGAGGTGACATTTTAGGAAGATTAGTGCCCCAGCATTGTGCAGGTGACCTGGTAGTTTGAAGATGAATTAAATTGGCACAAGATAATGCCATAATCAAGACCCACTGGATTAAGAACAGAAAGGAGAAGAATGTCAGCAGGCATTCCCTAAAGATAGGGCCTAAATAAGACAGATAAATGGAACACAACTCCAGGAAAAACTAGTCTCCTCCCCACAAGCAGAAACAACCCTAAACATGCAAAAAGAAGGCAACAGTGAAGTAAGATGCGGCATTCAGTGGAATGTGATGCAGTTACTAAAGCTGTGACAGAGACCATGTGAGAACATAGGAAATGTTTATGCTGTGATATTAAATGGAAGTAAAAAGAAGGCATTGAATTATAAAGAGGTTCCAAATAAAGATGGAGGATCAAATACCCACATTTACTTTCATTCCCTCCCAAAACCTCACTAAAACAACAGCAAAGAGATTTTTTTTTAAAGACATAAACCCACAAGGACAAAGAGAATGGGAGAGCAGACAACAGCAACAAAATTTTGGAAGCTGGAAGCAGATGGATGAGTGGTAACTGACTTAGCAGTCCTGAGAAAGCTGAATCCTGAGCCAGCGATGGAGAAATCCAAGCAACAACCCAATTTTACATAGCAGAACCCTAAAGAAATTCAGAAATCGATGGCACCAGGTAACTCCACAAAGTGGGGGAGAGGTGGGTGAAGAGGAAACTGACTGTATTGGTTGAAAATTTGTTTAGAAAGATCGCCCCTTCCATAAGTTGGAAGAACACCAGAAATTTATTCCATGGGCTGGATAAAGTGAAGAATGTCTGAACTAGAGGACACCGAACACAACTGATGGTCGTGGTCCCTTGGGACAGGTTGAGTGAGTGACGGCATCCTGAATGTTGAAAATCCCAGCTTTCTTTTCCAAACAAACCCAGAATTCTGGTTGCCAAGCCTTATACCCTCAAGTCAGGAGATGAGAAACTTTTTTTGAGGAATCTGAGTGTGAAGGTGATTTAAAGATCAGAATTTTGGGGACTTCCTCACCAATAGCCCAGCTGCGTCTCCCTGCAGGAAAGCCTAGAGGCAGGAAGCTCCACCAACACAAGCAGAGCTTTGAGGGATTTCACTAAAAATCAGCATTTTAGTATTTCACTTTCATGAATAAAGGGCCAACTGAGGGTTACCTGGCTGGCTCAGTCGGTGGAACATGTGATTCTTGATCTTGGGGTCATAAGTTCAAGCCCCACGTCGGGTGAAGAAATTACTTTAAAAAAAGAGGGGGGGGGCACCTGGGTGGCTCAGTCGATGAAGCGTCTGCCTTCGGCTCAGGTCATGATCCCAGGGTCTTGGGATCGAGCCCCGCATCAGGCTCCCGGCTCAGCGGGGAGTCTGCTCTCCCTCTGCCCCCCCCCCCTCGTGCTCTCTCTCTCTCTCTCTCTCTCTCAAATAAATAAATTAAAAAAAAAAAAAAGACTGCATACCCTTGGGGCATCTGGATGGCTCAGTTGGTTAAGCATCTGCCTTTGGCTCAGGTCATGATTTCAGGATTCTGGGATCACTTCTCCCTCTCCCTTGCCCTTTTCCCCTCTCCCCTGCTTGTGCTCTCTCTTTCTCTCTCTCTCCAATAAATAAATAAATAAAATCCTTAAAAAAAAAAAAGACGGCATACTCTTGAGCCAGACTGAATATTGGGTTCAGATACTAACTTAGTGACATAGTAGCTGTATAACTGAGAGTTGCTTAAGCTGTATAATTGAGAGTTGCCTGTTTCCTCATCTGTAATGAAGGGATAATAATTATGGAACCTTTCTTATTTAGTTGTTGTGAGAATTAAATGTTATCCATGTTAAGTGTACTGGAATAGTATTTGGCATAAAATCAGTAGTCAACAAATTTTATTCTAATAGCTATTTTATTAATGTTCAGTTATTATGGTACTAATTCCTTCTAAATCATCGATAAAAACAACTTCCCAGGTCTGAGCCTGAGGGCCAGAAGTTGCGCTGTATTGGGGCAGCCAAGTTATCCCTACTAAAGCATACGCTTCAGCAAATAGCCAGCATCTTTGGGCTACATCATTTTCATCCATGACATGTGTAGTATCATTGTTTCCCATGACAGAATAAATGAGTAGCCATCTGATACTGGCAACAGACCTCTGGAGTGAGAGTGATTTTCCCAATGTCACAGAGCAAGTAATTTTTGGGCTTCTGGCTTGAATCCTAGTCACCTGACTCCATAATCCTGTGATCATTTCATTGTCTAATGAAAATATAAAATTTTCTAGCCCTCCTGCTTCTTTTATTCTCAGATTAATAGGATTTATATAAGCAAATACAGTTAAATGTTCCCCAAAGTGGTTCTGCTGGTTAAAAGCAACATATTTCCTGCAAAATCATACCTCTTGTTATGTGGCTGCTTCTCATTTTACAGCAAGTTCAGTTAAAAGATAATGTAGCAAGATCTTCTAGAAAATAGCACTTAGGTAATGGTGCATATTTATTCTTTAAACATTAGTTTCCTTAAGAACAAATTTTGATTTCTCTCATTAAAATATGAATCATGTATTATATAATTATTTTTAAAGATTTATTCTAGAGAGAGATAGGAGAGAGAGAGAGAGTGCACATGAGTGGGGGAAGGGGTAGAGGGAGAGAATCTTCGAGCAGACTCCCAACTGAGCACAGAACCAGATGTGGGGCTTGACCCCATGATCCATGAAATCATGACCTGAGCTGAAACCAAGAGTCAGATATTAACTGACTGAGCCATTCAGGTGCCCCATGTATTATATAATTGCATCACAAAACTATAGTAAACACATCTTAATTTTTCATAGCATACAAATATAATTTATATGATTTAGATTATTTGCATTTAGAGTGCAGGCTTACTGCTGCAATGGAGAAATAAACCAAGATGGTAGACAAGTGTTTGTCTACCATAGTATCCCAGGGCTGGGGAGTGGCTCAGGGCAGGCAGGCAATTCTGTTCCACAAGTCCACGAATGAACTGAGGTTCATTTTTATTCTCTGCTGTGCTCTAGGATGTTGTCCTTATTTACATGCCAGAGCTGGCTCTCAAGCACCACATCCTTATATTCCAGCCCATGTGACCATGAGAAATGAGAAATCAGAACTTTTTCGGGGTCATTTTTAAAGAGTATGTGTGGTAGTTGCCTTCATTACTCTGTTCACATTCCACTGTTCAAAATTTAAATTACTAGCTGTGGAAGATTATGGGAAATATGGTCTTTAACTATGTTGCCTTGTACTTGTATAAAATTCACTGTTACCAATGAACAGTGTTAAATAAACCCACATGGATAAGTGACTTTTAGGGAGTAGGTGGAGGTAAGGAGATCATATGGGTGAGTAATCATCCAGTTGTATGAATGTGAAGTAATAAATGATCCTATCAGGCTTGTGAGGTTGGAAGTGAGTCAGATTGTGTGAATCCAATAAATGTTACTGTGGAAGAAGCGCGTATCTTTATGACTAGGATAGAAAGAAAAAGATTAATGCTTGATTATTTTTTATTATCTTCAGTGAATAAGCAAGTTGGCTATAAGTAAGAACTCCTTATCTATTATATTCAAAGTAAAACTAGAGACAGAAGTAGGATGTTTCTTTCTTTAAGGGTTTTATAATTTTTAAAGAATCTATTTGGCTCAGGACATCAACTGTCTCTCTCTTATTTTACTCAAATATGTAGCCAATTTTATTTATCTGAGCAAACTACCTAATTTTACATGGTGTGATATTTTGGTATTCCTTTAGAGTTCTCAGAAACCATTAATATAAAGAGAATATGCATCTGGTGATGGAATATACTCCATTATTTATTTGTTATTTACCATACTGGAAAATTCTAGTAGGTAGAAAATAGTGAGATTATCGCATATACACACAATTTTTTGATAAGCCACAATACATAAATAATATAAAGCCAAGCTTTACAATTCTCAATCAGTATTATAAATACAAATTCTAAGCCCTTAAGCTAAAATTTCAAGAGACAGTCTTGTCCATTATTCATTACAAAAATGCACATATCTCTAATGGGAGAACCACTTCTATCATGAAATACAGAGATGTGTGAGTCTTAGTTCTGCCTATGCTAATGTAAGTATTTTTATCACTACAGGTTTGTAGGTTTGGTTGTTTTGGGATTCATCTGTGAGAGTTTCTTTCTGTGTGTTTTAATGTGATGAGTGCTGTGAGGACACAAGCTTATTCTTTTCTTCTGTAGGACTTCCGAGTCATTTCAAAGGCATGAGTTGAAATGTTTTAGTAGCAGACCAATAGCCATGGGTTTTAAGGTATTTTTTTTCAAGGTGTTTTTTTATTATTATTATGTTATGTTAATCACCATACATTACATCATTAGTTTTTGATGTAGTGTTCCATGATTCATTGTTTG